TTGAATAATTATCATGAATATTTAATGGATGCAGATATTCACAGAAGGAAAGGATTAAATAACAACAAAAAAGCTAATTTTGTTTTTTTATCAACAAAAATATGTAATTAATTAGATTTAAAGATTATTATCTTATTCCACTTTTGAATGGCATTAGTTTCAATAATTCTAGAATTGTTTGTTTCCTTAGCATCAATGATTGAATCTCATCTGGTGTTGATTAATTAGTTTTATGGACCCGAGTAATGGTAACATGTTTTTTTAATATTTACTTTTGTACCTATTTTATATTAATATTTTATATATATATATATTTAGAAATGTAATAATTAAATTAAAAGGTATTTCTTTTTCCAAAGGTTAATGGTTGAACGGAATCAGAAAGAATTGTTATGTGGCCATGATATATTCTTGTAAGATCTGGCGGTGTACGATCAGAAGGATTGTTACGCGGCCATATTTTATTATTTTTAGAAAACAGGTAGAAATTCAACATCAAAAATTCTAGTTGATATATTCTTGTAATAGCCATTATACTACTAATTATTAATCACTTTTTTTAGATCTGGCGGTGTACGATCAGAAAGAATTGTTACGCGGCCATATTTTATCTATGATTAGAAAACAGGTAGAAAACTCAAAAATTCTATATTCTTGTAATAACAATTATACTATCAATTATTAATCACTTTTTTTAGATCTGGTGGTGTACGATCAGAAAGAATTGTTATCACATATAATAATAATATAATAATAACAACTAATTTGATTGTATAATGTTATTACAAGAATATATCAACTAGAACTTTTGATGCTGAATTTTCTACCTATTTTCTAAAAATAAATAATTAATAATAGATAAAATATGGTCACACTGATATTATTCTTTTCGTTGTTTTAGAAGGAGAACATGCAAACCAGCCTGCAGTAAGATTTCTATTTATTTATGCTTTCAATTTTAAAAAAATTTCTAGTCTATATAGTCTTAACACTTACATTACTTTCAAATCAATTACAATTCTGTTCAGAAATATGGAAAACTTCAAACAGAACATGGACTGGCGTTAACTCAAAGCTGTCAAATCACAAGGGTGATGTACCACATGCAAATTTTCGTGTTGCTGTACCTACATTATTAATCCATAATCTTTCAAAAATTTACCATTTTATCATGTTAATAACATTTAAAGATGGGAACTGCAATTAGTTGCAATTACATTTTCATATGCCACATCTGTTGCAACTAGTCTCAGTTAATTGAGGAGCCATCTTTAGTAGACCAATTAAAAATTTATTTATTAATTAAATTTATTCAAGAATTTACCCATTTTATTAATTAAATTTATTCAGTAAATGCTCAGTCATTTATCCGAGTTTTATCCATTTTATTAATTAAATTTATTTAGTAAATTCTCAGTCATTTATCCAAGTTTTTTATCCACTTTATTAATCGATTTATTCAGTGAACCATCCATTTTTAATGAAAAACGGAACTATAGATTCCATGGAAATATATATTTATTTAATATAAACGGAAAAAACATTGAGTTTAATAATGAGTAAATTTTTTACAGGGTTCATGAATTCAAGCTATTGAAAATTAGGAAAAGAGAAATTTCCAATAAAGGTTATTAAAAACATATCCTTTACAATGCTGATACTCATTCTTATGGATGGATCTTAAGCATCAAGAATATTTTTATAATGATATTTGTCCATTTGTATATTACCCGTCCAAAACCCATAGGCTGCATTATTGAACAAATCAAAATGAGTCAAACTGTCCCCGCCACTTTAAAACGAATGCCGCCACTGGTGGCACCAAAAGAGGTGGATCAAAAAGAGAAAATCAAAACCTTGTTTATTTACGCAAACAAAATTTGAAATTTTAGAATTGCAAAATCAATAACACGTATGTTCCCAAATACTAAGAAATGGATTAAAGAAAATCGTCACTTACATTGATGATAATTGCTTGCCTCAGCCAGAAATAAATTGCGAGTCTGTTGAAAAATTACATTTATAATCGTTGCATCCAAACCCCAAATACGTATCTTTAAAAATAAGGACTTTTCCATAATAGAAGCAGGATATAAAGGCCATATCTCAAAACACACACGCATGAAGAAAAAGTTGAACTAATTTTGGTGGTTGCACAACTTTAGTATCCTATTATAAGCTATTATTATATTCCTCAAAAAAACTAAAAAGAAAAAAACGGATTTTATAATTATAAGGACCATGCTTCTTCCAAAGATTTCCATTTTTTATTAAGTAATTGTTCTGCATCCTGTATTCGTTGTTCGTGAAACATGCATGGGGTGCTATCTTTTCACCCTAAAATACTTTTGATTCTTTGAGTTCCATAGAAATATAGAAACTAGAATGGATAATTATATTTGGTATATAGCACAATTGTGATTTTTTAATAATGAAAATTCATGAACAATAATGACTTTTTTTAAATCAACCAATCCTAATAAGAATTAGCTCGTCGCTGAGTGCCGGAATTTTTGATTGGCTAATCAATGGTTTGCAACTCCTTTTAGATATATACCATGTATGTATAGAAATTTGTTTTGTTTCAACAGAACACTATGATGAATTTTTAATTTATTAAACGATAACACCATTGAATGATGTAAATATTATAGGATCATGAGAAGACATATATTTGTTATCGAATCTTGCGATGACAGTGATTCTGTGTCTAGTGATAATATTTGACTAATTTTAATTGATGACTAATTTAATTGATGACGATAATGATGATGACAATGATGATGATAATGATGATAATGACGATGATGATGATGATAGTAATAAATGCAACAGCAATCACCATCGTTTATTATTATTATGCACCTAATGCGGATATTTTCCGGTAAGTTTATCTTATTTACTATTACTATTTCTTTTGGCCGCGGCGAAATAAGATAAACCCTATATGGGACAAATTCCGACAAAAATTTCTCGGTTAAATTTCTCCGGACGAGGTAAGATAATATTCTATTTTGTACAACTTTCCCTTTCTTTACCTAACTTTAATTCCAATGAGCTTTATAAAAATTATATTTTTAATTAGGTTAGATTGAATCATCCAATATTCATATGTTTTAGGAATATTTAATTAATTATTTAATAATGACATTTAATTCATCATTTACAGTACTAAATAAAGATCAACAACAAAAATGAACCATCTCGTCATCATTACGGCAAAAGTAATCCAAAGAATAAGAACATTCCATATAGATATATTAGTAAAAACTTGTTTATCATTCATTTTATGTCAAAAGGTTGAGCCGCAGTCAATTCTGGCAACCAATTACGAAAAATAAATATAAAGATAAAAAAGGCAAAAGAACGTCCCACCACTTTATAGCAATTATTAATTTCTTTTTTTTATTGTCATCTTCATCAATTCATCAAAACAAACCACCACTTGTTTTTTCTCAACTTCTGCCATCTTTATTATTATTATTATTATTATTATTATTATTATTATTATTATTAATTACTTTTATTATAAATTTTTATTTATTATTATTTAAAAAACTTTTTCTTTTTCAAGCCACCACTTGTTTTTTCTCGAATTCTACCATCTCGTCTAAATATCTCTTTTTATCTTTTTCACTTAAATCTTGGTAGACCTAATGATAATATTATATCAGGAAAGGAAAAAAATCATTATAATAAAAATACATTAATATGACCAATCAATCATAAATCAAGTAATCAATCAATTAGAAATTACCTTCTTTTCTTTATCCAATAAATTTCTCCATTTTTCTGCAAGTTTGGACACACGAACTGTAGACTTTTCACCATCATTTACATCCATATTTTTTACAACGAAATAAATATAAGAACTGGTTGGTCTTTTGGGCATATTTGGAATTTTCAAAAGTTTTTTTCCTCGTCTCTTTCTCAATCTACGATGTTTATTCTCAAGTTTAATATCATCTACTGTCAAAGAATTATACCATTTCTCATAATTCTTCTTATATTCTTCTCTTTCTTGAATATATCTCGCTTTATAACTCTGTTTTGTTATACGATTATGATTGTCATCTCAAATAATTATAATTATATAATCATATTCATTATACACAAGAAACTATTACTTACCTCTTTCATATCATCGGGTAAATTTCTCCATTTTTCACCTAAAATTTTACCAATTCTTGGCACCGTAAGGGTAGGATCTTTCTCTATTTCCATCTTGTATTCTTCACTAAAGAATATAGAATATGGCATCTTTGGTCTTTTAGGTTCCGGTTTTGTAATTTTGGGAAGTGCTGCTAGTTGATCCGATCCAATCAATCAATCAATCAATATCATTATTTTTTTTATTTATTTTTACACTTCAAAAAAATATAAATAACCTTTTTTAACAGGTACTGCTGCCTTCTTTGCAGCTACTTTCTTCTTTATAGTCGTCTTTTTTATGGGTTTTTTAGCACTAGTTTTCTTGACTTTAGCCTTAGCCTTAGCTTTAGTTTTAGTTTGAGTTTTAGGTTTAGGTTTAGCTTTAGCTTTATTGCCAGCAGTTGTTGTTTTTTTCTTACCGCTACTAGCAGCGGCTGCCTTTTTCTTTACAGGTTTAGCAACAGCAGAAGGATAAAAGATAGGCGAAGTAGAGCTAACGTTTTTTTTTAAAATACTGATACTAAAAGCACGACTGTTAACAAGTGCTGTTGAGTTGTTATTGCTGTTGTTCTTTGTTGTCATTAATTTTGTTTGACCAACAAGTAAATTTGCTACAGCACCAAATAATCCTCTTCCATAAACACAACCATTATTACCAAACAAATTTCCAATATAGTAAACACCACTACTATTACCACCAACTCCACCTTTTAGAACGTTAGTTGACGCAACATTTGAAACATTCGATAGTCGACGAAACATTTCCTTTCCCTAAAGAAAAAATTATTTTTGGGTTTTTTTTTTACACGTAAAATCGCTTAAAAAAATAAATAACACATTGAAATGGAATGACACGTAATCTCATCCAATGAAAAATCCTGTAGCACAAATTAATCATAACTGATCTGGCGCAACCAAGTGAACATGCTAATACATGTTTATCCGTACAAAGAAAGGCTTCTAGTATATTCAGGGGCCCAGACCCGCACATTTTACTATTAAAGAGAGTCAGTCATAATAATAACATTTGATCGGCATTAATAGTTCGAGTTTTTGGGAAATACAAACATTATGCACGATTTCGCGTATGACCTATCTGTGTAATGTGCGGGCGGACCAGATAAAAATTTGTAAATACTATAAATAAAAAATAATGCTGATTTTCTTGATTAATTTTTCCTTAATGAATAATGCGATGAGACTGTTTATTGCATATCAATATCTACTTTTATTGAAATAAATAAAAATTCCTCTGGTAAAAATTATTAATCAAATTCTGTATTTAGAATGGTTTGTTTTATCTATTCATCATTTAAAATATTCATTCACAGGTATTCATTATTTTTTTATTATACAATTTACTAGAATATTTTTTTTACTGTGGATTTTTTTCTCGAATGATTTTTTTATAACGAATCAATAAGGTTTATTATTATTATTATTATATAAATTCGTTCGTTATAAAAAAAAAACCAGGTTAAAATCTCGAAATTTCAATTTATTTTAATAGCTAATCTTTTTACTAGCAAAACATGTCTAATTTGGTGTGTTCTGGTATACTTTTCCTATTTTTTTATCAAGAACAAAAATTTTCATATGAAAAGTATAGAAAAATTATTTATTTTATTAGTCTTGGATGACGAAACCCTAACGAGTTAGTTTGTATCAAATTTTAGTCAAATCGATCGATCGATCGTCACGAAATTAGGGGTTTACCTGACAAGGCCCGGGATGGAATTTGGGCGTGGGATTTGTGTCTTTTGAGCTAATAGTAGTTATAAAATTGATGATGTCACAAAGCAATCGAATATCATTTAAATTTAATTCCTCTTAAATATTTATTATTTATTATTGCTTATTTATTTGTATGATTACTACTACTATTTCATCAGATAATTATAATGTTTATATATTGTCGCACAAGGGCAGACATGCAGAAGAAATCTTTAATGGATGACATATAGCAATCAATCAACAATAGTGTGTACACATTATAATCGAAGGCGTAGTTGCATTAAAATGGAACATTTTCAAAGATAGATTTTAAAAATTTTTTTTTATTACATATATTTTTTTTTAAAATGATTATATACAAATAATTATTTCTAATTTAATAAATTCTATATGTTTTTTAATACTATATAATATTTCTACAAAAAACCAATACTAAGCTAAATTAGCGGGAAAAAAAAATTGAAAACTTAATCATAAAGAAGATTTTTTAGGAAATAATGCACTTTCCATCTATATACACACAAAACTATATGTTATTATTATTACTATTATATTATTATTATTATTATTATTATTATTATAATCTTAAATCTTAAAATTTTTTTTTCATAATTTTAAAAAAAAAAAAAATCTTAATATAATAAACCGTAATTAAATTCTGGCACATTATCAAAAAAAGAAGGTAATAACGGAGATGTATTATTGTTGTTATCGTCGATCGATAATAGCGGTGATGATGATGATGATGATATAGATGGTGATGATTTAATATGATTTAATAATAAATCATCTGTAAAATTGTTAAAATTGAAGAGATTATCATCAGATATATCAGATAATAAATATTTATTGTTATTGTTGTTTATTATAATTGAGTCGTCGTCATTTGATAAATATGGAGAAGAGATGTTTGAATAATTATCATCAGATGATGATAATTCAGGAGTATTTGCTGCATTCAATAAATTTAAAAATGAAAAGTCGCCAGATTGTCGTTGTTGTTGTTGTTGTTGTTGTTGTTGTTGTTCTAATTGAAATAAATCATTATTATTATTATTACTACAATTATTATTTGTAGTGTCGTTAAGTAAAGAATTTACTAAAAAGGCATTATTATATTCATTAACCGCCATCACAGTATTATTATTATTATTATTATTATTATTGATATACGTACAAGATTGATTATTATTTTCATAATTCTCAAACATTGAAATGTCAGGTGTTGAAAATAAATCAATCAACTGATTTGTAAGGTGGTTAGTAAAATTAGCTGATAATTCTGGTGAGAGATAGTAATCATTACCAAGATTACCGTTAATGGTAGCGTTAGCAGTAGGAATACCATTATTGTTGTTATTGTTGTTGTTGTTGTTGTGGTGGTTATATAGATTGAGATCTTCATTATTTTCATGATGTTTAATAATATTGGGTTGTTGAAATGATACAACATTCCATCTTTCTTTTCTTCTTCTTCTTCTTTCTTTTGGATACATTGCCTTCTTTTTCAAATGAGCTTCTTTTGAAATACGTTTATACTCTGTCTTAACTTCCTCAGACTCTTTTTCCCAGGCTGCAGAAGCCATTGAAGAAATCACGGTCATTGGTAGACAATGGCCTTCATCTCTAGCCGCTTTAACAAAAGCTTTACGATAAATGATGAATGCATTTGGTGCACGTGATGGTTTATGAGGTTCGTCGAATGCAGAAATACTTGTAACTGGTTTGCTAGGATGAATCAAGTCTGATGGATCAATCACTGGTGGAAATGGAAGTTTAATTTGAGGAAGTGAATCAACATTATGATGATGATTGTTATTTTTACTTTTATTGTCGTTGTTGACTGTTTGATCAGATTCAAGAATATTGGGTGAAGAAGATGCAGTGGTGGCAGCAGGAGAAGAAATAGAAGAGATTTCAGAAATAGCAGAAATATTTTCACTCATTTTTAATTTTTTAAAGAAAAAAATTTTAATTTGTTATTTAGTGTTTAAAAGTTAAAAAGGAATATAAAATAAAAAAATTTGTTTGTTCGTTTTTTTTGTTTAGAAAAAAAAATTTTTTTTAATTTATTTAATAATTAAATTTTTTAATTTGATTTTTTTAAAATTCAAGACAAGAAATTTATTTGATATTTATGCGAATTTTTATTTTAACAATTTATGTAATGAATAATATATATATATATATATATATAAAATAAATAATTAAATGCCAAGTCTATCAATTATATTTATATATATATATAATTAATATAAAAGTTTTAACATAGCCCCAAATTTTTTAAATTCGGTGTTAAAAATGATAAATTGGGAATAAGTTGGTATTTTAATTTTTTTCTAATTTTAGATTCTTTGAAATCATTGACATCATTTATTAATTTATAATATTTTCACAATCAAACGCACCGTAATATTTATTAATCTGGACAAATAAATTCTCGGCGAAAGTTTTACCGAAATTGACTGATTAAGTCAATTAATTGTTGATTAAAAAAAAAGCAAAGTATGATGAAATAATAATTATTATTTTTTTTATTTTTTAGTAATATTTATTTATTAGTGTTAGCGTCAAACATTGCACATGGAGCGACACATGGTATCAATATTTACCCTAAAATAAAAAAATATATAATAATAATAGATGGGTGCGGGAAGGCAACCAAAAGACAACCATGACACAAAGATTACTAATAATAATAATTGTAAATTTAACAAATAAACAAAAAAGTCATTTTTTTTTTTGCAAAAATATCATAGCATTCAGCTGACCAAAAAATAAATTAACTTATTTAATTTATTTGTCAGCTAAAATTATCCAACTCGGCAAATTAAAATTGACGTTTAGAAACTATCCTGATGCTAAGAATATTTCTTGGCGATCGATATTTCCTTAATAACAGGTGATGGCGATGGTTCACTATTATTATTAGGGGAGCCATTTAGTTTATTCTTTTTGTTTCTATCTTTTTTCACTAATTTGTTTCACCAATTATGCTATACATTAATTATTGCTAGTTTCAGCGTTAGTCAGATGCTTAATATTTTTTTTGCTTGATGTAATGGACACAAAGGGATCTGGAAAGTTTTATGACAACATATGTTGTAGTATATGAATCATGTGATCGAATAGTACGGAGGTGGGCATTTAAATGAAATAATTATTAATCAGAAAATAAATAAAATCGTCATGGGATCCTTTTTTGATAAAATTGCCACAATTTGGCTGAATTAGGATTTTTTAATTTGTAAGCAGGTGGCAAGTGAGTTTGTAATTATTACTAATATTTATATTTTATATTTATTGACGAATGGCAAGCAAGATAGCAATGAATGTTTAAATATAGTCGGTCACACAGTATAAACATTTACACACAAAAGAATAAGTAGCTTAGTAAATTGAGTTTTCTGGATTTAGAAAAATCTTTTATCTTATCAGTAAACATTTATAACATTTATAAATTTTATAAAGAATAAATTTAAAGAATAGTAATTTATTTGGTTTCCCATATTTAGGAATTTTAATCTTATCAGCAAAGGGATAAACAATAAACAACAATAAAACAGGTAATGGTGGATGGGAAGGAAGCAGTTGAGTGGTGTGAGAGAGAAAACGTAGATTTTTTTATCTTATCAGTTTGAAAATAGAAGGTTCAAAAGAAGTTGCTAGAAATAGATATTTCTCTTTTTATTGGTTACTAATGTTTATTTATTTGTAATTGTTTATTTGTTTATACAATAGAAATTAAATGTTTACTCATTTAATCGCTTCTTGTCCCCCTTTCCCCTTTTGTCATCTCCATTATCTCCCCTTTCTGTGTCCCTTTTTGTTCCCTTTTGTCCCCTTTTCTTCGCATTCTTTTTTTCTAGATGTTTTTTTTTAATAAAATTTTAGATGGATTAGGATATCGGAGAATTAATGTTTTTTTGTGTTAGCTTGCACACCGATGATTGATAAGATCCTCTTTCCTCTTCCGCTCTTCTTTTTAATGTGCATTCTCACTTTACTATTATTATATTATTTATTTATGTTATTTATTTATATTGTTCATCTAGAGATTGCCAATTACTAAACCATGGCATTGCACTTGCTATTTTAATATATAATTTTTAATCGCTAAATGTGCCACACTCATTGACTCATTGACTCATTGACTCTCTCAAACTTGTGTTACATACATATATTAATTATTTGTTTACGGACGAGTGGCTTATACCGAACTAATCTCTATTTAATTAATATTAATAGATTGAATTACTGCGTCATTGCCCTTTCTCATACATACACGCTATTGACCGAGAACGTTGATCATTCCATATCACTATAGAGGGTTACGAAAAAAAAAATATTCACTATAATGAGATTTCTAATGCCATGAATGATTTTTAACGAGGCGAGCCTAATAAAATAAATTAATCAAATAAGGATTAATTTGAAAGACAAGGTTAAGGAGGGTCAAAGAGTTTTTAGTTTTTGGTAGTAGCTTAGCGCAAGTTGTACGCGCGTGAACCAAAATAAAAATTGCCCGCATAATGTTACAACTTTGCTTATAATATTTCCATAAAAATGCTATCATGTGTAAAATAAGCAATTTTATAATGGTTTATAAGCGGTTTATAATGGTGATAATTGGTGATATTGGTGATAATTAATACATAAGCTGAAATTTTTTAATTTTATACATTTTGGGGAAAAAAGATTTTTTTTTTTTTTTTAACAATGGATATTCTCCGCACTCTCTCTACATATATATCCATATATGTATATATATGTAATAGCAGCAGTCATAATGACACACAATGTATTAAAAAGTTATAAAATTGCAAATGTGTTATATATTTGTAACTTGGGAAAAAGCTTTTCAATTCAATAAGAGTTAGTTAATATTTTTGTGTTACAAAACTACTAAAAATTTTTTTTTTTAAATATATATAAAAATTGAAATAAAAAATTTATTCCAAAAGAAATATCTTATATATAAAATGTCAAAGGAACAATCATCAGATTTATCATTTGCATTATTGAGAGATATCGGTCAACTTTATGACGATTCAGATGGTTATGATGTTTCGATTCAAATTGGTGAAGAACCAAATATTCAAATATTTCATGCTCATTCAGTAATTTTAAGAGCTAGATCTTCTTTTTTCAGAAAATTTTTATCAATAAAAAAATCGTTAAAAAATAATATTGACGATGATAATTATGATAACGATGACGATGACGATGATGACGATGATGACGATTATAATAATAGTAAAAACATTGACGTAATTGTTTATAAAAAATCTAATATTTCTCCTAAAATTTTTAAAGATATTTTAAGGTAATTTTCACAAAACGCATACACACACACACACACACACACACACACAAAAAAAAAAGTCCCCAAAATTACCTCTCCTTTTTTCTTAATTTTTTTTTTATCACTATTTTCTTTTAGATATATTTATACTGGTAAGATAAATTTAGATGTTAAAGAAGCACCACAAGATTTATTGGATTTGCTTATTGTGGCTGAGGAATTGGTACTTAGCGATTTGGTGGATTATATTCAAGATTATATTATTCAAAATGAGATAGAATGGTTGAAACTTAATTTGGTACGTGTGCTTCAGACTACCCTAAAACACAAATCATGGCATAAACTACGAGCTTACTGTGAAGAGACAATTTGTGAAGATGCTTCGTTGATTTTTCAATCACAAGATTTTAAATTGTTAGAAGAGTCATCGTTGGTATCTTTGTTGAAAAGAGATGATTTGGATTTGAAAGAGATTGAAATTTGGAATTATGTTATTAAATGGGCATTATCAAAAAATCCTGATATAAGTTCTGATGTCAATGAATGGTCAGATGATGATGTGACAAATATCAAACAATCTATCCAAGAGTGTCTGCCTCACATAAGGTTCTTTCAAATCTCATCAGCCAATTATTATTATAAAGTGAGACCTTATAAAAGATTGTTGCCTACAAAACTCAAAGAAGACTTGAAAATGTTTCATTTAGTTCCTGGCAGCGAATCAAACATTGACAAAATTTCAAAACCGAGGTCAAAACCAACAAAATCTCTCGATTCACTAATCATCAAGCCTTATCATTTATCAATCATTTCTAATTGGATTGACAGGATAGAATCAGAAGTAATTAATGAGAATAATAATATTAATGATGATGGTAATAACAGTAATGACAATGATGACAGTGACGATAATATATTTGAATTTTATAATAGTAGCTACAATAATATAAATCGAGAATTTCAATTACTTGTTCGTGGAAGTCGTGATGGCTTGAGTAGAGACGTATTTCGTGAGAAATGTGATAATAAAGGTTCAACACTAGTCGTGTTGAAAATCACTGGAACAAATAAATCAATAATAGGAGGTTACAATCCGATCGCATGGTCAAGTTCAGGTGAATGGTTATCGACAAATGATAGTTTTATATTTTCATTTGATGATAATATGAGGAAGGTTTTGAGCAGAGTTGTGAACTCTGAACAAGCAATTAGAGATTGTGGTCCCCAATTTGATTTAGTTGGATTTGGTGAAGATTTGAATATTTTTACTCGTACTTGTTATATGAGAGATTATGAAAGAGGAATCATTGATGCAATTAATTTTAATTTATTAGATTATGAAGTATTTCAAATAATTGAAAAATAACTTAAATCATCATACATATTTCATGAGTTTAGATTATGTGTTATATAATAGATTATGTATTATTATATTTATTTATTATTGTTATGTAAATGTGGTGTAAAAAAGTATAAGTGGTAATGAATAAAAATGCACCTAATGCATGTACATAATCATTTTCATCCAATTATTTCGTACCAATCAATACATATATATATATATATATATGCATATGCATATTTTTTTTATTAGTTTTATGTATTTCCATGCATAAATTATGTTGTGTTTATGCTTCTCCTCCAAACATACATACACACAACATCCAATAAATTGTATCCATGAATTCCTATATAAATATAATATGATGATATATAAGTATTATTATTATTATTATATATTATTCAATTGATTGATTATTGATTTTGATTAAAATCAAAGTTTTTTTATAAAAATAAAAAAAAAAATTTTTTCCTTTTCTTCTTTTAATATATAAAAATAATTCGTTTTTTATAATATACAAATAAAATAAAAAATTATGTCAGATTTATTGTTGTCCGATGCTTTTGTAAGGGATATTAGTAAACGTTATGAAGATGCTGATGATCATGATGTAATTATTGTTGTTGGTGAAGAACCTGATAAGCTGGCATTTAAAGCCCATTCTTTTATTTTAAGAAGTAGGTCTTCTTTTTTTAATGCTGCTTTATCAACTAATTGGGCAAAAAAAAGGGATAATGATGAAATTAAGTTTAGTAAACCAGATATCACCCCTAATTCGTTTAGGCTAATCTTAAAGTAAGTTCAAGAAAAGGATATTTATTACCATTATTACCATTATTACCATTATTACCATTACCATCTATAATTATCATTATCATTATATATAATAATTTAAATAATTTATTTATTTATGAATGTATTATTTCTTCATATTAACATCTTACCAGATATATGTACACGGGTTCAATCGAGTTAAACATCGAAGATAAACATGACTATTTTGATTTGGTCAAAGCAGCCAATGAACTAGCTTTGATTGAATTAGTGGAATATATTCAAGAATACATGATTCAAAACGAGAAACCTTGGATGTTGGAAAATTTTGTTCAATTATTTCAAAAAATTTCAACCTATGACTCGATGCATAAGCTACAAACCTATTGTGCTGATTTGGTTTGCAATGATCCTTCCGTTGTGTTTAAATCCGATGATTTTGCCTCGCTGGAAGAGCCTTCTTTGCTAGCTTTATTACAACGTGATGATCTCGTGATGGATGAAATTGATATTTGGGAATGTGTTATCAGATGGGGAATCGCGAAAAATCAAATGATCGATACCAATGTAATAAATTGGTCTCAACAAGATTTCATTGATATGGAAAAATCTATAAAAAATTGTATACCTTTGATCAGATTTTTTCAAATATCAGCTGCCGACTACTACTATAAAGTCAGACCTTATAAAAAATTGTTACCACGTACTCTAAAAGAAGACCTGCAACTGTATCATATTTTGCCAAACGAACAACCTAAACACACAGTCATATTACCTCCTAGAATGGGTTTAAGACCTGATTCACTCATCATCACAAATCAACATGCTTCTTTAATAGCAAATTGGATTTATAATAAATCAAAAGAAAATTATAAATCGCATGAAATACCTTTAAATTTTAAGTTGTTATTACGTGCTAGCAAAAATGGATTTTCCGAGGATGAATTTCACAAAAAGTGTGATAATAAAGGTGCAAATATTATTGTTGCGAGCATTCAAAATTCAAAATTCATCGTTGGCGGCTACAATCCACTTGGTTGGACTTCTGCTGACGATTGGAGACAGACTGCAGAAAGTTTTATTTTCTCATTTAATAAAGAAAATAAAAATTCTGTAATCAGTCGTGTAAGAAATATTTCATGTGCGATACGCGATACAAGAAGCAGACATTTCTTGGGCTGGGGTTGTGGCGATCTACACATACTTGAGGGTACTTGTCATAGACGTGACTACGAAAGAGAAATTGTTGGTTTTCATAATTTTACAATTGATGATTTCGAAGTATTTCAAGTTTTAGATATTATTAAAAAATCTAAATGAAACAAACTATAAATTTGTTTATAATTTTTTTGAAAAAAAAACCCCCGATTTTTTTTGGTTTAAAAGAGATAATTAATTGATTGATTATATATATATAATGTAATTGTAATAAATAAATAATAGTAATAGTAATAGTAATAGTAATAATACTTAGACAATAATAAAATTTTTGTGTGAAAAAAAATTTTTTTTTTGGTAAGCTCTTTATATGTTAAGATCTGCAAAATGTTATTGAACACGAATTTAAACACGTACAATTTTTATATATATATATTTTTTTTAAAAAACAACATAATAATAATAATAATTTTTGATATTTTATAAACTTTTCAAAATGCCCTCTAGTATTGTCAATAATTCCCCAAAACGTCGACACTCATATAATAACACTCCCACAAGAAGCAGTTTGAATACAATAAATGATGATGAGGCAGAAAAAAGTCTTCGTAGAAAGTCTTTTGCAGAATCAATGCGTAGAAGGTCCGGAAATATGGCTGTTATTGGATCACCTCCAATATTATCAACAGAGAGAAACTCCTTTAATACACCATTAAATCCACCAAGACCATTAGAAATTATAACACCTATACCAAAAATACCAGCTGAACAAATGTCTATAAATTACGAGGAATGGATGAAGTTGGTTACTGATAACGTATAAACAATTCATTTATACACAAATAATATCTTTTATACTCATTTTATTTAATTTATTAATAAAATAATATGATAAAATTAGAAAATAAATGCACAAAATAGTTGGAAGCTTGCTTTGATAGATTATTTTCATGAAATGAGTTTATTAAAAGATGGAGATTCTATAAATTTCCAGAAAGCGTCATGTACCTTGGATGGATGTGTGAAAATTTATACTTCTAGAGTTGATTCTGTAGCTACTGAAACAGGAAAACTTTTAAATGGATTGGCAGATAGTAGTAGTACGTGTGATTCATTAATAATTGATTATTCGATATATATATATATATATATACATATTTATAAACAAGACCTTTTATTTATTTATAAATAGAGAATGATTTGAATCTTCAAGATGATGAAGATGAAGATGAAGCAGATCCAGAAAAACGTACCAAGAAAAAAGTATGTACAGTCAAAAATAAAATTTCTTTTTCTCTTATTCATATATATACACAAATTCTTACACATATATATATGTATATAATATAATTTGATAGAGGAATAGAAGTGAATCAACATTAGTTACATCATATGATCAATTAATATTAAAAAAATTCGATTTAGAATTTACTGTTGATCCTCTTTTCAAAAAAACTTCTGCTGATTTTGATGAAGGTGGTGCTCAAGGATTATTATTGAATCACTTGTCAGTTGACAGCGATGTCAAAATTATATTTGACGCAAGTGATGCTATACCAGTTCACAAGATGGAAGATGATAATAATATAGAAGATAATTCAATTCAACTTATGGATTTAACAAAATTACGGAGTAGATTGATTGATTTTATTATTATTGATGCTGTTATATTTATGTGTTATTCTATATAATTAATTAATAATAATATCTTTATGCGATTATTTCATAGCAACATTTCTTCCAGATCTTGAAAGCATATTCAGCAAGGATATATGCCCAGTGTTAAAAGGCTTCAATTTTTTTGGAAATAGTGAAGTAGACTTTGATTTCTTTTTACGAAAAATAGGCGATGACGGTGATGACGACGATGATTGTATTGATAGTAGATTCGATTTTGTTGAAAATCATTATAGTTTTGATATAGATGGTAGCGGTGATGGTAGCGGTGATGGTAGTGGTAGAGGTAGCGGTAGCGGTAGTAATTTTTCAGCAGCAGGTGGAAATGGTTCAGAATTGTTTATGGATAATGGTGGTGGGGATGAAGAAGATGATATTTTCCTGGATCAAAGTTTCGAAGTTGATGATGAACGATCTGAGCATCAACAACAACTTTCTGAAAGAGATTATCTGATGGCAATGTCTAATAATGAGAATGAATTATTTTCTTATTTTGATTCTGCTTTTTTACGGAATTGGGCTGGTCCTGAGCATTGGAAATTAAAAAGAGCTGCAAAAAGTGAGTAATAATCTCCGATTAGTGTTATTAGCCTACAACATTTTTATTAATTTGGCATATAATTTTTTTAAAGAAAAACCTGAAGATGAAAATGGTGAAACTAAGGGAGAAAAGAAGAAAAAAGATCCGTTTTTAATTGACTTTATTGAGTCTGATGACATTGATACAAGTAATATATTTGTCGCTGGTAAAAATACAATCATTGACCCTAAATTAGCTGAAAGGCTGCCGCACCGAAACATTCTTCCTGATGATATGCATTTTTCATCAAAACAACTATTAAAATTGTTTCTTAAACCACAGCCTACGGTTAGTTTTTCTGTAGTCATTATTATTATTATTATTATTATTATTATTATAGTTCTTTATTAATTAATTAATATTGATATTGATATTGATATTAATTATATTATTAGCCGAGGTCAAATAATAAAAGCGAGGAAAAAGATTTTGAAAGTAAGTTTTTTTAAGTGTCAAGATTACAAACGTAAATTATTTGTGATCAAAGAAAAAAAGTATAATTTTTTTTTTTATTTATCAGATGAAAATATTGAAGTCGATGAAAATTTTTGGGCAGAACATACTAATGGAGATCTACCAGAAACAAATGATTTGGGTAATATTTTTAATAATGTTGTCAATAATAACATAGATAAACAATAGTAATAATATAATAATATAATCTTATTATCAAAATTTAATGAAGGGGGTGGCACATTTTTCAACGATGATTACGATGGAACTGACGACGAGTTAGATTATGGTGAAAACCTTGTATCACAGCCAAAAATAATTAAACCCGAATTTGTCAAATATTCAAAAAAAGCAAAAAGAGTTGATGTTAAAAAACTCAAGGAGAATATATGGAAAACTTTAATACATTCTAGAAATTCACTAAATGTAAATAATCATCAATATTATTTTGAATTTTATGGAATCTTATTAAATTTTTTTTCTTTTTGATTTGATAGGCATCAGAAAATGAACCAAATGTTTGTGATAATATCGAGGAAAATGAAACTTTACCTGTTGTCAAAGAACAAAAACTCTCTGATGTTGTTCAAAATTTACAAGGCTTTTATAAAGAAAAGGCTCTGAGAGATATTTCAGTACAATTCTGTTTTATTTGCGTGTTACATTTAGCAAATGAAAAAAATCTTGATATATTACCTAGTGAAGATATGAAAGATTTAATAATTACTAAAGAATAGAAAAACAATTAATTTAATATATAATAAAGTTGGTTATTTCGTTGAAGAAAAGGATTTTGCTGTTTCACCAAAACAAAGCGTTGTGTATAAATTGTAATTATAATCATGATCACGTTTATGATCATGTAAATCAGAAATTATTGAAAATCCTATTGAAAGGATTCTTTTATTATAAATTGATGATTTGAAAGTAAATAGGTGTGTCTCAAATTAATTTTACTCTCCCAGCTGAAAAATGACAAATAAAAATTATTAGAATGATGATGATATTATAATTACAATTGTCACAATCTTTTATTTTTCTGGCTGGAATGGTTTAATTATGAAAATCAAATATTGATAAATCTAACAATCTTTGACTTGAAACAATTCACTGGTGCAAATATGCAATGATGTTAAAATATCAAGGTCTTATTTTTATTTACTTAGTGAATATTACTCAACAACAACACCATTTCCTGAGAATATTGGTCATTGTTTAGATGGTAATTCGAGTATAAGAGCTACCACCTATGTTCATGAGTTTCTTTATAAAGTAAAAGATGTACCAACAATCAAATGTAGCCATGCTCTTAATATTATAACTGCCACACGTAATCCAAATATTTTACAAAGCCTAGCATATTACACGTTAAGAATTGGATAAAAGAAGAACAACTGCCTGATAGTAATTTACTTCTTAAGTTATTGGAAACAGTTCAACATCCACCTATTAATTTGGAAACATCGTTAAAATGTAGATTTGGTGGAGTGACTAATTAATAAACTGGTAAAAGGATCTAGCATACGTGGTGTTGCTAATATAGCATTTAATTTATTGGACATACGGCTTCAAAGATTCTAAAACCCAGAAAACTCATTTGGTTGACAATTATTTAAAAATACATTTGATGTAAAAAAAATTATTCGTTTGTTGATGATTTTTATTTATTTTGACATGGAACACAATGTTCATAAATAATATAAAAATACCTAAATAGGCATCTTAACAAAAGTCTTTCTCGTGTACATAAAAGCTTGTCACAATAGTAGTTCCAGCTATGTAATAATATATTCCTTCCAAATTCCATAAATTAAACGAGTGCCTCCATCAGCCCAACCTTTAGATTTGATTTCACCATTACAAAGATTTATCAACACAAGGAACTTTTCCACATGATGATAGAATTTCTCGAGCCACCAAAAAAAATTTTTTTGACAACAAATAATCATCTTCGAGATCAGACATCAAGCTACGGTGTGTTTTTTTTTTTGAAAGACGGTTCGATCAATGTTCGTTGGTTGCCATTGGTTCTGGTCCTTTTCCTTTTGGTGTCAAACCAAAAAGATAATCGACTTCCTATTTCCCACAAAAAGCTGTGATCGCCAATTCCTAGTTATATGATCGGGCTTCTTTACATTGATAACAAGTTATCGGCCTTGGGGAATGATTGATCTGGGCTAATCCCCTGTAGCTGTTCCTTACAATTTGATTGTATTCCATTCACTAATAATTTTAGAAGATATATTTTTCCTTTGCATGCTTCTACATTAGCAAGATAAATCTTATGTAAAGTATATGTAGACTAGCTTATAAAGCTAATTCTACGTCAAAAAATCAATAGATGGCGATTGGGTTGAAGTAAAAAACTTAGTGAAAATTATACAAACAATATATAGAACATCAGGAACTCAAAAGGTTGGTAGAAATATTTGTATGATTCAATTGATCATAAAAGGTTTACCATTTTTAGGCACTTACAGTTCTTAAAAGATTAATAATGCTTCTTTGAACATCTTCAAGATTTATGTTATTAAATTTTCACCTTTTGATGCAAACTCTACTTTTTTATTTACAGCAAAGGCTGTTTATGATGCGTCTTCTTTCAAAATTGGGAAGAAATGCATGATGATTTAAACAATAGAACGGACGATGTTTCAAAATAAAAAAAATTTAAGCAAAGTAGGTATTAGTATAATAATATAATTAGGGATGTTAAACAGTCCTAAAAGACTGGTGGGCTGATGGTCTGTCCTTAGACTGGTCCAGTCTTTTCTCAAAAATCACCAACTGGTAGTCTACAGTCTTTATCACGTGAAAACAGTCCTGAAATGGTCTTTTTTCAAATAGGGACTGAAGTTTAAACCAGCCCATATTAGACCATTTCTATAATGAAAATATTACACTAGGTTTGATAAGTTATTGGTCCTGAACAGTCTTCTTTCAATAGGGATGATGAATAAAATTTTAAAGATGATACGGAAAAACTGATCAAAGAAGCTATGTTTGGCTTAATATCTCTTCTTTGCGATTTCAAAAATGCTGAATATGCAAGGAACATATGTATTTATATGGTTCAAAGTATCAGTAATGTATTTGCTATATTATACCAGTCCTTTTAAGCATCATTGATCTTCAACTATTTATTTTAGGTGACAGAATTACGCTCAGCAAACTTACAAAATTTCGCAGATCAAAAAATCGATTCGTGAAAAAAAATACGTATCTCCTATACTACTACATATTTCCTGGCGATTAGCCAATTTTTCGATTGAGAAGATGAGGCACATAGTGCCGAAATAGTTTCGTGATCTGGTTTTTCATGTTGCATTCGAATAATGATCAAGGGCGAGGCACATAAGGTTGTGGGCGAAACCTCTTAATGACTGTCGAAACTCTGTCGAAACTCTAATGAACAATTAATGTGTAACCTGTCGAAACTCTGATGATTGGCGAAAACCCCAAATGCGAAACTCTGCCGAAACTCTAATAAACAATTAATGTGTAACCTGTCGAAACTCTGTCGATTGATTTCTGGAGGAGTTTCTCCCGCAACCTTAGAGGCACATGATAACGAATTCCATCTATTTGGTAGGATGTAAAAGCAAAAATTTTCTCTACCTTTGCGTCATACCACGAGTATACTATGTTTTAGATCTCTTGAATCCTTTCTCGTGTAGTTGGTGCTTTTGGGTACGTACTATTTCTTCACGTTAAAAAATTGGGTCACTCTTGCGTATTACTATATCGAAAAATTGATCGCGCATTTGCGTACTACCAAAAAATTTATTGCACTTTTGTATAACTACCATATCGAAAAATTGGATCGTACTTCTGGATACTACCATATCGAAAAACCAATTCGTAAAAATGTTTTTAGATACATATATATTTCAATCATATAAGTGAAATGGGTTATTTACGGAGGTGTATCACAACCCATTGACAGGTAAACATGCAAATGGCATCTATCCTGATGTAATTAATAGTAAAGGCAGAAAGAATTCTCATTTTATGGGTTAGGGTTCGGGATGTCCCCCCTTTAATCATTCATTACTCTATCATCGTTTTTTTTAGTTGTATATATTATTATTATGTATTCTCAATCGAAAAATAATAAACATATGGCTTTATCAATAAAAATATGCAGTTTATTTTTGATCTGGTAATTGCAACAAAAGAAAAAGGAGGTAAATGAAGAATATGCTTATTACATTAAAGTATAACAACATCTAATTTCCAATCTTAATAGTCAAAGGTTCTTTGTCTATACATTCTATCTTAAATGCATTATAATTTTCAGAGCATGACACATGTATAAAATCCTTATGCAGTTTTCGAACCTTTTTTTTTTTCATTACGAATATCGATAATAGCTATACTCTTTGCATATCTAACAATCTCTTTATATTTACCTACAGGTTCAAATCTCCTACTATGCTTGGTCATGTCCTTACCATCTCTCAAGAGCTCTATTGCCCATTCTAACTTATCCACATAAAAATCTATATATCCATCGCATCCAAAAACTGCTCCCACATCACATGATAGAAAATGATTCTTCCCTAACACTTGTGTTCCGACTCTATAAAATTCTTTCTGCAATGTTTGTCCCAGAAGGTTTCCATCAATTCCAAATCCAAGTGTTTCTCTTAAGATTTTTCCACTTTGTCCATTACATATTGCTGTGAAAATTTTCACAATAAAATGATATAATGATGAAGGGGTAATTTCAGTACTATTGTGGCTTCCATAACATTGCTGGAAAAATGATCGCATAATAAGAGGTGCTGAAAAATATAGATCTCTGTCATTAACCACAAGAATTCCAGATTTTACTAAATACTGAATGTTCATATTAGAAGGTCTGAAAAGAATCTTTCCATTTAAGTAAGTAAACACTTTCGCATATTTCCAATTGCTCAACAGAAAGGTTTTTGACTCTGGGTGAAGCATGGCATTCATCAATGGTTAAATTGAACTTATTTGAATTTAGGTATGCAAATATATCTTTCCAAGTCAACACATTATCACGAATTCGCCACTCCATTGCATTTTTTGTATGATGTAATATGTGACGAACTAAACCCACATGTCCTGCCGTTGCTTTTTGAATATATTTACTAAATTCTGAGATGATGTTAGTAAGACTATTGTGATTATTTAATAGTTTGAAGTGCTTATTGCAAAAAATTTCAACATAGTTCTCTAGCTCATCATTAGTAAAATTGATGTCAAAAAGACCTTTGCTGTTATCTGATGGTATTGTGACAGGAGTTGAAAGTCCTGCAGAGTTAGCACCATATCTATAAGCTCCAATCATAATAATATAAACATTTGATGACTCTTGAAGGCTGGCCTTAATGGTATCCCAAAAATCAATAGCAGTTTCTGCATTTTTCATACTTTCATCAATTTCATGTTTGTAGATCTTTTGAACCTCATCCATTATCAAAATCGATGGAGTACTTTGAATTAGAAATGTGATGATCTTTCTAAAATGGATTTCATATATATATACATCTACGAAATTTTCAAAATCTATCTAGTCCACCAATTCTTTTTCTAGAGTTATAAAATTAGTATCAAATAAAAGTTTGGAACATATTCTTCCACTTAAAGGTTTTAGATTTTTAAAAATTTTATTAAAATTTTTTTCTATTTTTGTTTAAAACTTTTTTTTGCATACAACTTTTTTTTATAAACAAAAAATTAAAAAATCAAAACCTTTATTTTGAAGTATATGTTATGTAGTACTTATATACTAATTTTAAACAGAGGTCTATTTGATAAGTATGGAGGAAATAGAGTTTGAATTTTGTTTATTTTTTATATTAAAATTTTTGCATCTATTTGATCAGCAAAAAATCCGCATATATGATTTTTTATATATGTGGTGGTCAATTATGTTTGTGTTTATACTAATGTGTAACACCCCAGTTCTCTAACATCCTTATAAATAGTGATGGGCGTAGAAATTACGATCCGCGGTGCAAAAATGGTAAAAAATTGTCAGTTGACAATGTTTAATATTAACAATTAATAAAGCACGATGTTTTGGTATTACAAACTTTCTCTTCCTCTTCTCTTCAAAAACATATCTAATAATATTATTATCACTATTATTATTGTTTTTTCTTTGCAAATAGGAATAAATTCTTCACACAAATACTGAAAAGTACTTCTAGTAATTCTTGAACTCAAATTATCAAAAAGGTAATGCCAACTTTGCAAAAAAAAATTTATTTTTTAAATTTTGATTGGTAAATCTTACACAGAGGGTAAGATTTATTTTTATATTTTTTAATACGGTGCAGATCATCTATAATCATTAATTGCTTATAGTAACAATTGGTCAACTTCAAAATACTAAAACAAAAAAAAATTATATCATTTTAAAAAATTTAACCGATAAGTTTTATTGTTTATGACTTGAGCTTCAAAACTTATTGGCTGGTTTTTTCTTAAGCTGAAAATTGGCAGAGCCTTTGCATTTTGAAAATTCCGAATTTTGTTATACATTTAAGAAATTGAGACTAATTTCGTGTAACAACTTTTTTTCATTTATTTATAAAAGAAAATCATTACCAAATTTGGTCGTAAGATTCAAAATATTGTAACACGGAAATTATTGTTGCACTTCTGAGCATAACTTTCAAATTTAAAAAATATAGATGTAGTAAAATAAATAATCAAATCCTAATCAAATAAAATTTTTAATTTCTGAGGACGCCCAGTGATTTGATTAATGTGTGTAATGTTTTATTATGCGGGCGCGTGTGTTACATTAAAGGTAGTCAATAATCTATTAGCAGGATTTGTGCAGAAAATTCGTGTAACAAATCGAAAAAAAATATATATTAATATATTGTGTAGCCCTCTATGATAACGTTTGCGTAACATGTACTGATATTTTTCACATCGCTGAATAAAAGTCCGACATTTGAGTTGCAAATAATATAAATCAATTTTATTTTAACATCAATTTTTATATTACAAATGTGAATGGTTATTATGT